AATAACAAATTACTTCAAAACTATAAGGTTGCGCGCTTTAAAACTTTACATACACTCCCTTTAGAACCCCCTCTACCCCTCCCCCCCCCTATTTTCCTTAATTCCGTAATCGGGGGTTACCATTCTAAAATTTTCCCTTTTTTGTTTTATAATATTTTTGGCATAAATATATAAAAACCAGTTTAGAAAATATTACTTTTTTAAAATACCAAAGTATTTTTTGTTTTACCTTTTAATCTACTTTACATTTTAATTGCGGCAAGTAATATTTATATAAGTAAAATCAGCGTAAAAAGCACTAGCAATCTCCATTTTTAGTTTTTCTATAGCTGAACGGTTGGTTATCTTGATGTATGCCCTCTTCTTTTATGGCAAACTCTAACAAATTCATGTGTGGATGCCGCATTCAAAAAAATCATGTCGCCGTCGAGAGGCGTTTAGATTATGTAGTTAAAATTTTAATGTCGTCTGCGTGGTGATGTTTTCGATGTGTTCAGAGCTTAAGGAAACGATTTTGTGTTGATATATCGATCCTTTAGATACATCGATATATCGTTAGCAACTCTAATAATTATTCACTTCGACGTGTCTACAAGTTGTGTTATTTTTATATCAAAATGTCTGGTGTTAAAGGCGTGGTTGAGAAATTCTACAATGATTACGTAGAAAACACTCCCCGAAAACTGAAGTTGGTGGATACCTACTTGGCATACGTTTTCCTCACCGCCGTTATACAATTCGTTTATTGTTGTTTAGTTGGCACATTCCCTTTCAACTCTTTTTTGTCCGGCTTCATAAGTACAATAAGCTGTTTCGTTCTGGGTGTTTGTCTACGACTTCAGGCAAATCCGCAAAACAAAGCCGTATTCGTTGGAATCTCACAGGAGCGCGGCTTTGCTGACTTCATTTTTGCGCATGTTATATTACACTTAGTAGTTATGAATTTTATTGGATGAAATGGACTAAAAATATTAAATGCAAAACGTTAAATATATATGTACATACACATCATCTATTTAATAACAGTAGATAACAATCAAATGGGTCAAATTCTTGGTCACAAAATTCTAGCGTAATTTCTGGTTCAGGTATAGAATGTTTCAATGGTGGAAGAGGCTCCAGCCAATGGCACAGCTCCGGTGATGGTACTTTGTTAGGCTTTGTCAATCTGCTATGGTTTGAATTGCATTGATTTTGAATCAGTATTGAATCATTAACATTAATGGGTGTCAAGTTTTTAAAGTTTACTTGAGCGGCATTGAAGTTCAGTCTTTGGGTTATCTGAAAATTTAAAATAACAGTTTTTACTGCAATGGGAGTTTTCAAAAGTATTTTCGATTACCTTAGGAGCAATAGTTGCTTTCGATCGCGGTGTTAAGTCGACATCATTTTTAAACAAGGGCGGCCGCAAAGCCTCGATGTTCTCCATTAGATTTACATCGCGCAAAACCGTGCTCATTTGAGGGGCACTATATTTCCTGCCATTTTGGTTGCCTTTTGACCGAGTGTCTGGTGTTATATTTGCAGCTGGCTGCTGGTTAGTTGAGTAGGCATTTGAAATCTTCGGCTGGTTTTTCCAGTTAATACTACTTAAGGTATTAGCTCCATTTTTTCGACATGTTGACTTTCGGATAGCTTCGCGCTTTTTAACTAAATCGCCAGTAGAAGTTCCTTGAAAATTCGGCATCTTTAAACAATCGGATTCTGGAACATGCGAGGTATGAAACGGTACGAGTAAATACAAGTAGGGACTAGGAAAGTTCGATGTTTAAGAAAGTATCGATATCGGGAAAAATCGATGTGGAAAATCCTACCCCAATTGAAAAGAATATTAGACCTGCCTATCAACTCACCTAATTCCGTTATTTCCATCTTGTATAATTACTGAGGATTAAAACGGCATGCCGGTTGACTGCAACGGTTTGTCAAACTTATAGAGCTTTCGCACGACGCGATTTTTCAGCCAACTTTTGCGTTCAACTCACGCAGGGTTGCTCAAAAAAAACTGAATGTCTCAAAATATCAAAATATAAAAAACTATCAAAATATTCGCCATAAAAAGGCGTTTGCATTGTTCAACTTTGCATTGTACTTTTGGTTGAACGGCCTTTCAACTAATCGCTTTCAACAAAGTTGACCGCCAGCCAACATTTAGCTATTCAACTTTTTTTCCGTGCAACCCTGGTGAGTTGAACGCGAAATCGCCTCGTGCGAACACCTTTTTAAGAGCTAAATAAATCACACAAGCTGCTGATTAAAACTACTTTAGTATTTTCCCATTCACTTTTGGAGATGAAAAATAAATTTAAATTTAAATATTGATATTGCGGGTAAAGTATCGATGTGTTCGATATATCGACCTTGGAGTATCGACCCAAAAATCGATTATCGTGCCATGAAATATCGATATTCAGAATAATCCTTACGATATCGAACATTCTTAGTAGGGACACGAACATGACTCAACAATTTACAAGTTGTAGCAATCATACAAATACAACTTTTACCGTTGGTATGAACTCGTTGTGTCAAACACAGTCTGTTTATGTATTCATATGACTATGTGTACTAGTAGTGGCAAACTATCGATGGGACATTACTATCGCAACTATCGATGGCGACCACTATCGAGGTATTGCCATAACTATGTATGAATTTTATGTATCATATCTACCAAGGAGTATTAAACAAGGTGGTGTTGGGGCGACAGCTGAGTTTTTCGCCGTGGAGGCCATTATGTCCAAATGATGTGTTTGTTGTAACTCATAGGAATGACAGTATGGACATCAGCGTATAATTTGTTAGCGTAATTTTTTACTTATATACGGCCAACACCACCTTGTTAAATACGCCTTGATATCTACGTTGTCGGCCGCTGTGGTGCATGAACCAATTAGAACAGATCTGACCGGTTGGGAAGCAGCCATTTGTAATAGCAATTGAGAAAAAAGTGTGTGACGCGCGTAATAGGAGCGTTCCTTATCTCTCAGAAATGGTCAGACAAAGTCCGAAGTAGTCAGATTTAGTCAAAAAAGCGTTCCTTAACTCGGAAATGACAGCTAAAATGAGAGGGCAACATCCAGTGAGAGTGATTCTCATCAGTCCGAAGTAGTCAGGTTTAGTCAGAAGAATGTTTTCTGGCAAAATCTCGAAAAGTGTCGAACTCAACTAAATTTAAATTAACGGAAATTAAAGAATACGCAAAAAGTGAGAATAATCTAAAAAGTAAAAAAGTGAATTGAAATTGGAAGGAGGCAAAAATAATTGATATAGTAAGTGTTTATTGTGCTTGTGCTTGTGTGAATATGTTTTGTACATACATTTCCATTCTTATTTGACGTTAGCTTTGTTGTTGCCATTCTTTGGACTAAAAATTTGTTTTTTTGCGTTCCTTTACTTTTCCTGTTATTCTCTTTTAGTGAGCGCATTTTGCTTACGCTCTGGCATTTTGACACTTTTCAGATTTTAGTCTTAAAAGATAAGGAATGAACCTAATTTTGAAGTTTGCTATTTCTGTTTTGCTTCTTTCTTTATGTGTATTTTGTCGGTGGTAATTAAAATGAAGTGCGCAGTGATTGGATGCAAAAACACGTCCAAAAATAATAAATGGGTTAGCACAAACATGTGCACAACATTGCTTGCATATTTTCTTTATGCTTCGTCTTCATATTCTTTGTTTACTTTACACAGAAAATAACATGGCGCCGAAATTACAAACGTCAACCAGAAAATTACTTTTTTCTTTTGCTCCATGTTGTCAGATCTTGTGTAGTTGGATCATGGCTGGGGTGTAGTGGTCAGCGTTGCCGTTTTGGTCCAATTGAACCAAAATTGGTAGCTTCATTCTCCTTTGGTAGTTTGCTTGGTTTGATGAAGCTTTTGGTAGGCAAAAATGTTTTGAAAAGTCCATCAAATTGAGCATTAAAATTTGTTCACTTAGGATATCTGCACTCTTGTTGCGTTATCGTCTCGCCCTGAAATTTTGAGCCGAGCACATGCATTTCAAAGGAGATCTGCACACTTGTCGTTATCGGCTAGTTATCGGCAAATCGTAGAAGATGCAGAAACACATAAGTACGGCACTGTCGTTTGCTAATCGTTGTGCACGCATTGTTTGTTTACATTTTATGGGGAAAAATTAGTGAAAAAGTTAATATTTGCATTAAAATTTTATAAAAATTTTTATTTTTTGCATAAGATCTATAGAAGTTATTAAAAGCGGATACTTGCAATGAAATTCAATAAATGTGAGAGTTTTAACTATGAAATATGACGAAATCGTAAAAATTCTCTGCCTGCGTGCACATTTCAAGAAAAGAAAAGAGAAATTGCTCAAAAATTATATCTCGAATTGTTGCAGCATAATCAATATTTTAAAAATTCAAGGTTTTTGTAAATTTTTCGCGAAAATATCAACCAGAAAAACGGAAAATACCTGCTCCAAGTGAAGTTTTAGACGCCAAATGAATTAAAATATCACGACCGAGTTGCATCATTATTGTGATATTGAAAAACAATGATTGGACGACCAATATGCAGCACGCCTTACTTTGCGTTTACACGTCGAAAACATTGCTTTCACTTTGCTCACACGTATAAGTTTTCTTTGTTTTTTCTAAATTTTACTAAGCACACAATTTTCTGCAAACAAAACCTGACTTCCCAAAGCTATGATCGATCAGCCGTTGGAATTGATCGAAAATTTGCCTATCGTCTTGAAAGAAATATTGGTGATAGGCAATTTGCAAGGTGTGAGTGTATGCAAATTGAAACAAAATTTGTAATTTTTTTATTGAAATTCCATAAAACGTCAGATTTTGTTACTTCAAACATAAAATTTTTTTGATATGAATTGAATTAATCTCAAAGTTATTTACATTTTTTACAAAAGTTTTATACGCAATACATTAATTCTTTTATTTGTTTTGTTTATCCTTAAATATTGGTATACAGTTAACCAACACAGTAAACAATATTATACTGTCAAATTGTGAAGCTAAAATCCCCGTTACTTCAAGAAAATTTCGTTTTAATGATGAACAAGAATTTGGTAGTTTGGAAACTGATTTGGTAGGCGTTTTGGTACCTAAACACAAGTGGCAACACTGGTAGTGGTAAGCAGTGCGCGCTTCCACTCCACAATGCCTGGGTTCAAACCCTGGTCAAAGCAACATCGCAAAAATATATAAGAGGTTTTTTCTTAACAGCGGCCGTCCCTCGGCAGGCAACGGAAAATCTCCGGGTGTATTTCTGCCATGAAAAACAGCTTCTCATAAAAATACAATCGCCGTTCGAAGTCGGCGTAAAACTGTAGGTCCCTCCGCTTTGTGTGAACATCAAGGCGCACGCAACAAATCGGGGGAGAAGCTCGGCCAAACACTAACAGATGTGTAAGCGCTAATTATTATTATTATCTACGTTGAAACGCGTTTGGGGCTGTGACAAATGAGAGAAAAGAAAAAATTTTGACGGATGACAGTAAAAATCTGACATTTCTCGTGGTGAATACGAACGTCGGAGTTTTACCTAGCTCATGGGGCTAGGTAAAATTTTGACAGCTTATAACCATGTATACACATAATATTGCTTGGCGGTAATAAAGAGTGAACATGAATATGAGAGCTGAAAAATCATAAAAAAGCGTACGTTACTTGCAAATTATAAAATAAATATAAATTTGAAGAATTTCAGCAACACATAAAAATAAAGCTTTCGCACGAGCGTTTGTTTTTTTCCAGCTGTCAAAATTTTACTTTGCATTTGGCACAGCAAAATCCAATTTATTTGTATACACCATAGCAAGTTTTTCAAACCCGTCTCACCACGGAGAAAAAGGTTACCGATTGGCACAGGCCCTTTGTGTGAAATCCACAGTATATGAGTAGAAAAGGTTTTCAGGGTGCTGTGCACCAAAATAATGTAGTGAAAAGTTTTAACATCGGATAAATGGCGAGAGATATGCGCTTTATGAGTAAACATGAACCTAATAAAAGATTTTATACTTCAATACAATAAATTTGCGCTATTTTTGCAATTCGAAGTGATCTTAAAATGTTTGTAGAGAAATATGTACTTAATGAGTTAAATGGAAACTATGCTAAATGTAACAAGTAAGAAAGTCTAAGTAGTCCGATTTCAATAATTTTCAACGTTTTGCTTTTATGTGGCAAGCACAATAACCATACCGAGTTTGATAAAAACTGGTCGAACAGTTACCGAGATACATATATGTGATCATAAGTGGGCGGTGCCCCGCCAATTTTCTAAAATTTTATCACAAACATATTCCTTCGTTAAGAATTGTTGCAAGCATCAAGATTGAATAAATTAGCTTTAATATTTACTGATTTATCGAAGATTTTGTATTTCTCTAAATTACCGTTATATGGGATGTGGGCGTGGTTATAGTCCGATTTTAAAAATTTTCGGCCATTTGGTATGTTGTGCGAAGGCCAACAGCTGTGTCAAGCTTGGAAGAAATTGGTGCAGCGGTTACCAAGATATACACATGTAACCATAAGTAGGCGTGGCTACGCCCATTTTGTCGTCTAAAACTTATTGTAAATATCAATTTTGAGTGAATAATCTCTAGTAGTTACTAAAATATCGGAGTATTACCGTTATATGGGAAGTGGGCGTGGTTACAGTCCGATTTCGCCCATTTTAAATACCAACCTACCTTGGATAAATGGAAACCTACACTCCAAATTTCGTTGAGATATCTCAATTTTTGCTCGAGTTATCGTGTACACGGACGGACCGACAGACATGGCTTAATCGGCTTCTCTATTTATTCTGAGCATTTATGTATACATTTGTCTATATCTATCTTGATTCGTTTTGGCTGTGCACAAGTGCGCTCGGGTATAAAAATATATTCCGATTTTCTTCTAATAAATGGTGTAAAACGTTTTGTATATTGATTTTATTTTAATAATAATATTTATTACTTT